AAGCTTGTTTATCAAACTCTAGATAAATATATTTAGAACATTCTATCCAAATTAAATGATTATTTATTACTTAGACTAGACCCTAGGAAAGTTCAACTAAAAGAAATGTTAAACATTAAAAAAAATTAAAAGAATTGTTGTTTTAGTTTGTTTTCCATCGTTTTCAAATAAACATGTTTTGTTACATCTTATATTTCAGGACAATGTTCAGATTATGAAGGATATGAATTTGGATGTTTACAAATTTTACATGGTCAAGAATTCTTCTGAGTAAGTCAAATATAGATCTATGATTATTTTGGAGTAAGCTTTACTTGTTTGGGTGTTTCATTATAATCATTACTTATTTATCTACTATAAATTGCATATATATTCACAGATGGAAAGCTAAGTGGAGGTATAAACCAAGAAGGAATTGACTCTTACAACAACCTTATCAATAAGGTATTGCAAATGGTAAGAATAAAAACTTTATTATGGATATTTTTATTATGTTTTACATATAGCAACTTCTCATGTTATTGGTGATGATAAAACATTAATACTAATCACTGTTTAATTAACATTTTCACTTGAATGCTTTGCTAAAATGTTTTGGGAACATTCCTAAAAATCACACATTTTAATATAGGAACATAACCCTATTTGGCCACACATCACCAACTTGTTGCTCATGCAGCTGTGGTTAATGTGTACAGAACTAAGTATCAGGTCAGTTTTTATTAAATTTCAACCTCGTACTTGCTATGTTTGTTATTGTGGAACATATTTTTTAATATATTAAATGAAAAATATCATGAGAAATTGATAATTCTAAGTGCTTGCTAGCAGTATTTTTTGTATTGGAAGTATGTTTATATAGTGGAAAAGAGCATGAGAAACTGATAATTCTAAGTGCAAAGCATTACAAGAATAAGAACCGTTCAGGTTAATAAATAAGATGGATTCAAAATAATGATATAAATATCAACCTTTCTTTTAGATGTTGGTTTCTTAACTATTTTCCTTATTCTTAAGGCCATCAAGATTTCAATTGCTTTATTTCTTCTCGAGTGCTACTTTTTCTTCGATGCCTTTAAGATATCATAATATATGAAAAGACTTTCATAGAAGTAACTCATTGTACTGATTGCATGAAAAAAGATACCAGTGAGTTTGATACATGCTTTAATCGCCTTAGTTTTTGTGATTTGATCATCCTGTTGATTTTACACCTTAATTGTAAAGTTCATTTCAATCCAATCCAATGTATTATGAGTTAGAATGCATTGGTTTTTGGCATTTTGAAAGAGTTTAGAAATATTAAAATAAATTATGCAGTATTGAAATGTGCAATTTAATTCTACATCAAATAACACATCTCATGTAATTCACAACATAATTCAAATTTTAAGTTAAACATAATCTTTTAATAAAATATACCATAGGTCACAAAGTCCTGGTTAATACATAAAAATAGATGTTAGTGCATAATAATCTCATGAAAAAATACTTTTTTTTTATTCCTTTTGCTTTTTAATTTCAATCTAATTACCACAATGTTGTATTGGATTAGTTGAGGAACACTCTTAGTATAGATGATATATATCAGTATTGTAGAACTTTGAGTTTTTTAAGTACTTTGTGATCTCAATTAACTCTCAAAAACCTTTCTCCATTTTAGCTATTCAACTTGTATCCTTTGAATGACATTATCAATTTACCCATCTTTCTTGGATTATTATTTTTTATTTGAATGTCTTAACGAATTCTACCTATAATATTTTCATTTTAAAGCTTTGTTAGACTTTTATTATATAAGGAGTAACAAGTATGATATATCTCCAGAGCTTGATCTGTCATGGAGAAAGGTGCAAGTAGGAAATAGAGAGAAGGAAAGGAGAAGTGCAAGAGGTATGAAATTAAACTTTTATTTTTCTAAACACTTGCAACTAAAAAAAGGATTGTTTCCATAAGGCTATGTTATTGTTTAACATGCGATATTGATTTTATTTAACATAGGCTGAGTCAATAATAAGTAACATACAAATATCTATAGTTTTATAATGATGAGGTGTACTATTTTCATAGGGCTTTGCTATTTATTGATTAGCCACTAATAAAACGTAGGTTGTATCATCTGTTCTAATCCGAGTTGTGCTTCTTTCTGGAACTATATAAAAGTTGCCCATTTTAGGGTGATGAAGCATAGCAATTACAAATGTTAATACGTTAAATGTTTTATTTTATTTGTCATGTGTTTAGATCTATTTGAAATATTATACATTAAGACAAATGGGTCATTTGCAATTTACATAGAGACTTAGAATTAGAATAACAAGTCATTTTCAATGATTGATTTTTTGTATCCCCTAATTTTACCCCACCATCTGTCAGTGAACTTTTAATGGTTTCTGAAATTTTCTTTAAATACTTTATTTGTCCATGTATATTGAAATGTGCTTCAACTTAACCTTTTGTTAACTTCTGGTTCAGGCATTGCTTGAGGCCATAGGCGCTAGTCGACCATGGCGAAGAAGCAATTACAAAATGCAGAAGTAATTTTTGTAGGTGTTTGTATGACATTGGAGTTGGCTAAGTTTGGAAAACTCTTCATCACTTTCATTGTAAATGTTTCTGACATAGTGCCAACTACTTAAGTTTAAGTTTGATTATTATGAGTATATATTAAAATTTTGATTATTGAATAGATAAATATTGTAAGATCGAGGTTTGTTATTATTATATATTTGTTTTAAGTTTTCATGTTTTAATTATTTGTTTTAAGAACATTATATATTATAAATTCTTTACATTTGTATTTATGTAATTACATAATATAAATATATTTGGCAATGTATCTATCAATTTGATAGTTGTATTTGACTCCTATTAGCTATATGGAATTCTTAGCTAGTGAGAGTAAATGTGGGATCATTTAATTTTTTTTTTATAAAGCCATGAATTTTTTTCGTATGTGATTACATACAGATTTTTTATATATAAATTATATACAGATTCTTTTGTATATAACTATATACGGAGTTTTGCGTATATAATAACATATGGAGTTATCCGTATATAATTATATACAAAAACATTCGTATGTAAGTTACATACAATTTTTTTTTATATAAATTACATACGGAAAAATCTGGATGTAACTTACATACAAATATTTGTATGTAACTTACATACGATCATTTTATATGTGAATTTTTATCTGTATGTAATCCGTATGTAACATTATTTTATATATGAATTTTGGTAGTATGTAAGTGTGCTTTTTTTTGTAGTGGTGACTTCAGGAGCTCTAATACCTCTAATTCTGACCTTAGATATCTTATACATAAGTTTAACTAACTCCTAAGGCATCCTAAGCATTGAGAAAACTCATAATTCATACCTCTAACTCAAAAAATGGCTTTCTCAAACTCAATTAATATCTTAAATCATACCAAACTCAATTTTATACTTTAAAGCACTAAATTTTTGCAACTAATAACTTCAACAAGTCCTAATGGACTTAATAACAGCCTTCCAATCATTAGAAATAGTCCATAATATCTAATTCAAAATATCACTTGTCAAAACCTTTAGATCTAGCCAAAACTAATTCAAATTCCACATGTCAACTACCAAAGAACCTAACATCAGTTTTCTATCATTCCTAATGTCCAACCATTTTAAATTACCCTAAAACAAACTTACAAGCTTTAGTTTTTATCAGATTTTCCCCCTTTGGGTTTTTACCTATCAAAACCTCTAAACTACCTTAAAAACAACCTTAAAATCATACTAATTGTACTAACATTCTATTCTAAACATCATATCAATTTATTCTCTTCATTAAAGTGTTAAAAACCACCATTCTTATTATACCAACATGTCAATAATTCACTTCTTAAAACCTCTATTCTAGACCAAAAACCTACCCTTTTCTTAAAATTAACATCATTCAAGGT